GAATCTCATGTATTATTCTGCCTGGGTTGGCTTCCACCCACAATCCTCAGATCTACCCTCTTGAATAGCTAGTATTACAGGTGTAAACAACCAGCATTGGCTTGATAGTCATGTTTTCTTAGGTGATCCCTGACTTGGAGCATCCAAGAAATAATGGGGTATGCAGGGTACTGGTGGCTCACACCTGTAATCCTAGCTGCTCAGGAGGCTGAGATCTGAGGATCTTGCTACAAAGCCAGCCTGGGCAGGAATGTCCTGAGATTTTTATCTCCAATTAACCACCAGAAAACCGGAAGTGTTGCTGTGGTTCAAGAGGTAGAGTTCACCTTGAACTGAGGAGCTCAGGGACAGGGTCCAGACCCAGAGGAAGAGGAAAGATGGGGTCTTAGTATACAAGCCAGCACAAAAATTCCAGGGAAGGGCTGGGAATGTGGCTCAGTGATAAGAGTGGTTGCCTAGCATGCATGAAGCCCTGGGTTCGATTACTCAGTACCACAAACACAGAAAAAGCTGGAAGTTGCGCTGTAGCTCAAGTGATAGAGTGCTAGCCTTGAACAAAAAGAAGCTTAGGGACAGTGCCCAGGCTCTGGTTCAAGCCCTGGGACTGCCCCTCCCCCCAAAAAAAGTACAGGGAAGAAGACTCTCCCTCCCCCCATCCCATGGTCCTGGAGCTCAAGCTCAGGGCCTGGGTACTGTCCCTGAGCTTTTTGCTCAAGGCTAGAGCTCTACCACTTAAGCTAAAGCACTGCTTCCAGTTTTTTGGTGGTAAATTAGAGATAAGTCTCATGGGCTTTCCTGGGCTGACTTTGAACCACCATCCTCAGATCTCAGCCTCCTGAGTAGGTAGGATTACAGGTATGAGCCACCAGCACCTGGCTTTGTGAGACTCTTTTTCTCCAACTAATCACCAAAATAAAATCCAGAAGTGGTGCTAGAGCTCAAATGGTATAATGCTAGTCTTGAGCAAAAAGGAGCTAGGGTTCAAGCCCAGGACTGGCAAAAGAGAAAAAGAAAAATGACCTTGGGAAAATGTCACTTTGGTATATGTAAAGTATGAAGTGCCTGCAGAGTATCCACACAGCAGTGTCAGGGAGGTAGAGGAACACGTTTGTAGCTTAAGAGAATGAGACTGGCCTACAGGATTTGGGAATTGTGAACATAACATTGGTGCCAAAGGATGTGGGGCCAGGTGAGATCTTCCAGACTGAGAGCACGAGAGTGAAGAAATAGGAGCTGTGAGCTTTAGCAGGGTGGCAGGAAAGAAATAGCCAGAAAGGTAAGACACCAGAAGGGTGCAGATAGGAGTGAAGGAGGGTAAAATCGAGGGTAATTGACAAGTGTCAGGTTTGACAACTGAGTGAGTAGTGTCAGTCCGGGAGATGTTTGTAGATGGGAGGTGCTTTTGAGCCTTCTAAATGGGAATATGAGCTGACATTTTGGCCAATGGTGCCTAGCCATTCCTTACCACAGTGTACATTCCTGACTCTCAGATATAGACTTTGGGGAGTCAAAAACATATAGGGTGAAATAAGTCAAATATTTGCCCAGCACTCAATACAGGCATTTTCCTAGGTGCTAGGGCTATACCTGTGAACAGGACCCTGCCTTCTGCTCTTGCAGCAAACACTATCTAGGGGAGGACAGACATCAGACAGATTAACATAGAAGGGGTTAGGAAGTGTGGAAAACACCTTTGTTTTTGGTTGCACATAGAACTTGAACTCTGGGCCTGAGCACTGTCCCTGAGTTCTTCAGCTCAAGGTGAGTGCTCTACCACTTGAGCCACAGTGCCACTTCCATTTTTTTTTTCTGGTAGTCAATTGTAGACAAGAGTCTCATGGAGCTGGGTGCCGGTGGCTCAAGCCTGTAATCCTAGCTACTCAAGAGGCTGAGATCTAAGGATCACGGTTCAAAGCCAGGCTGGGCAGGAAAGTCTGTGAGACTCTTATCTCCAGTAAACCACTAGAAAACCAAAAGTGACACTGTGCCTCAAGTGGTAGAGTGCTAACCTTGAGCTGAAGAGCTGAGGGACAGCACCCAGGCCCAGAGTTCAGGCCCCCACGACTGACACACAGGCTTTCCTGCCTGGGCTGGCTTTGAAATGCAATCCTCAGATTTCAGCCTCCTGAGTAGCTAGGATTACAGGCGTGAGCCACCAGCTCCCAGCTTGGAAAACACTATAGGTATCTTAGTCAGGAAATGTCTCTCTAAGGAGGAAACATTTGAGTAGAATCTTGAAGATATCGATGGGGTATAGGCAGGAAGACAGCAGACAGGGAAGAGCAGGAGGAACAGCCAGAGGGCTGGGAGCAGGAGTGGAGTAAGCAAGGGGGGAATGATGAAGTTGGGAGCCTGATCTTAGGCTCAGAGGCTGGAAAGTCTTCTAAAACAGCCCTGGATGCTGGAAGGACAGGAAGTAGCAGAAGAGAATCAGAACAAACCTTTCCCTTCCATATAGGCCCCAGAGCCAGGGGGGAAAAGCAACCTTTTGTGCAGAGGGTGAGTGGCTTCTTCTGGGTGGAGGAAGGGAAATGCTAGATCTTGAGCTCTGCTCCTTCAGAGAGGGGTCTGGACAATGGCTCCCTTGTGATTTGACTTGGGGGCCAAGTGGCCCTCTTAGTGACAAGATTCTTTAGCCACGAGGCATGTGACCCTAAGGCCTTGGCTCCTTGTTCTAGGGTCTGGCTGGCTGCTGGGGAGTGGGATGGAGGTGGAGAGGTGGGGAGGGGGCCACTGCCCTCTGGAGACAGTGCCCAGGCCTGTCTTGAGTTGGAAGAGGCGGAGGTGGGTGGCAGAGGGAGTTGAGGCTGTGCTTGGGGGAACTGGCAGGACAACCATCAATAGAGGGTCCCACCCCTGGCTGGGAGGGAGGAGCTAAAGCCCTGGGGCCCAGTAAGCAGAGACAAGCAGAAGAAGACCTGGCAATCCTTTTGTCTGTCTTGTGTCCCTTCAGAAGAGGAGAGAGCATGGAGTTGGAAAGGATTGTCAGTGCAGCTCTCCTTACCTTTGTCCAGACACACCTCCCAGAGGCCGACCTCAGGTAGGAACACCAAGAAGGGCCTTACTAGGCCCAGAGTTGTTACTGCCAGGCAGAAGTATGGGCAGCTAATAAAAAGACTGATAGAAGTACTCAGCCCTGGCTGTTTCAGAAGTGAGGAGGATTGATTTTAATCTGGTGAGATGAATTTACCTCTCATCTTGCCCTTGTTCCTTTCACTGGACAGATGGAAACCCAAACTGAGGGAGTGGGGGAGAGGGGATACTCTGGCCTCAAGGATTGAGGTTTGATTAATGGAGTGTCTAGGTGGGCTGCTGGAAATATCCAGTGACTTATCCAGGGTTTGTTCTGTCCTCTTCCTGCAGTGGCTTGGATGAGGTCATTTTCTCCTATGTGCTTGGCGTCCTGGAGGACCTGGGACCTTTAGGCCCCTCAGAAGAGAACTTCGATATGGAGGCCTTCATTGAGATGATGGAGGCCTATGTGCCTGGCTTTGCCCACATCCCTAAGTAAGGCCTGGCGGGGACCAAAAGGAGGGTCTTGGCTGGTTGGAGGATGGACTAGACAGAGTAGTCTTCTCATGACCTTTTTCCTTTCAGAGGCACAATAGGGGACATGATGCAGAAGCTGTCAGTACAGCTGAGTGATGCCAGGAACAAAGGTGAGTCTGGTGCTCTGGCACTTGGGAGATTCATAGCCCATCCCCCAAAGTCCTAGCAAACCTGATGCCCTCTCTGCCTCTTTAAGAGAACCTACACCCACAGAGCTCCTATGTCCAAAGTCAGGTGTCTATCTCTCCAGAGCCCTTGCAGCAGCCGGAAGAATGCAATGAAGATACCAGGTCTCCTGCTGCAGCTGGGGATATCCAAAATGAGGTAGTGGGGGGGGGGGGGTACCAGTGAGGAGCCTTGGGAATGGGAAAGGAAGAAGTGGGGCCTCTTGTCAACATTTGTATCCACAGGCGGCTGGCAATGAGGAGGAGCTGTTGCCAGGGGTGGATGTGCTCCTGGAAGTGTTCCCTACCTGTTCAATGGAGCAAGCTCAATGGGTGCTGGCCAAAGCGCGAGGGGACTTGGAAGAAGCTGTGCAGATACTGGTAGAGGGCAAGGAAGGGCCTCCAGGCTGGGATGGCCCCAATCAGGTATCCTGTCCTGGCCCTGGCTCCCAGCCATGTGGCCTCAGCTACAGTCAATCTTGATATTAAATCCACACTCCTTCCTATCCCTATCTGTTTCCCTTGCTGGTGCCACTGGGTCTAGCTTAAGCTTCCCCTCTCTTCAGGACCTACCCAGGCGTCTCCGAGGCCCCCAAAAGGATGAGTTGAAATCCTTCATTCTTCAGAAGTGAGTCTGGACTGGGCTGGGCTGAACCCTAGAGGGTCTTCCTTGGGGTGGCAGGAGCTTCACCCAGCCAGTTTTTGGCAGGTACATGATGGTGGATAGCGCAGAGGATCAGAAGATTCACCGACCCATGGTTCCTAAGGAGGTCAGTGGGCTGGGATTGCTGATGACGTGGAGTTGGGAGGTTGGCTTCTGGCTTCTGTTGCTCACTGCCTGATTGTCCAACAGGCTCCCAAGAAGCTGATCCGATACATCGACAACCAGGTAGTAAGCACTAAAGGGGAGCGATTCAAAGATGTTCGGAACCCTGAGGCTGAAGAGATGAAGGCCACATACATCAACCTCAAGCCAGCCAGGAAGTACCGCTTCCACTGAGGCACTTGCCGGACTCTGCCTGAGCCTTCCAGATCCTAGAGGTCTGCAAGAGCTGACTCCTCCACAGAGGGGCTTCCCTTACCTCTGACCCCCTTCTCTGAATACCCTACTTCCTGGCTCCATAGTGTTGTCCTACTCTTGGAGCTGCCTCCACAGGCACAGTAAAGTGGCTCAGGGAAGGTGTGAGCTCTCTCTGGTCATTTCTGCTTCAGGGTTGGGATACTATGCCTATCTGACCTTATTTCTCCAACCTCACATCCCCTGTCACCAATGGCAGACCAGCCAAAAGAGGGCAAAAAGCTCTTTATTTGAAGTTTCAGGGTAGGCAAGATACTGGTCTCTTCCAACAGGTCCCCACAGTTTAATTTCCTACAGCTCAGTGTTAGGCCTCAGCCACACAGTCCAGCTGTGCACCCACCGGCAGAAGGTTGTATCAGACCTGCAGGTTGACAAAGGGTGCGAAGCCTGCCATGTCCTGCAGCAGCACCAGGGCCTGGTGCAGTGGTGGTTCCACGTCGATGTCCACACCCCGCTTCCTCAAGCGGCTCAGGCTGGGCTCGGCCACATGGTGGCAGTGCCGTACCCTCAGAGAGCGCAGCGCTGGGCAGTATTCTGCCAATGTCCTGAGGGGAGGAGTGAGGTAAAGCTAAGAGGCCAGCCTCCACACTCCGGAAGGGTCCAGCCTCACTCAGTCTCTGGCTGCCTCCAGCCAATTCCAGTTTAGGGCATACTTTCTCTTGTTTCTTAGAGGGATCCTGCTCTTAGTTCCACCCATGACTGCAGGATTTTCCTCCTCTTGAAGAAATTCAAGAAATAGGCTTCCTATGTACAATTGCCCAATGTGTAAATATTGGTTCAAAAATTTAAAAACTAGCTGAGTCCAAGTGTCTCATGCCTGTAATGTTAGCTACTCAGAAGGCTGAGACTAGCCAGGTGCTGGTGGTTCACGCCTGTAATCTTAGTTACTCAGGAGACTGAGATCTGAGGATCACAGTTCATAGCCAGCCCCAGATACTCTTATCTCCAATAAACCACTAGAAAACTGGAAGTGGCGCTGCGGCTCAAGCAGTAGAACACTTGCCTTAAGCTGAAGAGCTTAGGGGCAGCGCCCAAGTCCAGAGTTCAAGCCCCACGGCCAAAAAAAAAAAAAAGGCTGAGACTTGAGGATCGAGGTTCAAAGCCAGCTGGGACAAGAAAATTCGTGAGACTCTTAACTCCAACTAATGACAAAAAAAAGTCGGAAGTGGTGCTATGACAAGTGGTAGAGTGCTAACATTGAGTAAAAAGAGCTCAAGGACAGCTCCCAGGCTCAGAGTTAAGTCCCAAGACCGACCAAAAAAAAAAACTTTCGGGACTGGGACTGTGGCTTAGTTGTAGAGTGCTTGCCTTGCACGCATGAGGCACTAGGTTCCATTCCTCAGCACCATATAAACAGAAAAAGCTAGCCGGGCGCTGGTGGCTCACGCCTGTAATCCTAGCTACTCAGGAGGCTGAGACCTGAGGATCGCGGTTCAAAGCCAGCCCAGGCAGGAGAGACCGTGAGACTCTTATCTCCAATAAACCACCAGAAAACTGGAAGTGGCGCTGTAGCTCAAGTGGTAGAGCGCTCGCCTTGAGCTGAAGAGCTGAGGGACAGCGCCCAGGCCCAGAGTTCAAGCCCCACGACCGACAAAAAAAAAAAAAAGAAAAATCTGGAAGTGGCACTATGGCTAAGTGGTAGAAAGCTTACCTTGAGCTGAAGAGCTGAGGGACAGCGCCCAGGCATAGTTCAAGCCCCATCACACACACAGTTTAAAAACTGAACTCTAGGCTGGGAATATGGCTTAGTGGTAGAGTGCTTGCCTAGCATGCAATGAAGGCCTGGGTTCGATTCCTCAGTACCACATACACAGAAAAAGCCAGAAGTGGTGCTGTGGCTCAAGTGGTAGAGTGCTAGCCTTGAGCAAAAGAAGCTCAGGGACAGTGCCCAGGCCCAGGACTGGAAAAAAACAAAAAAACTGAACCCTTGCTTAGATAGTCCTAGAGTTTCTGTTCTTAGTGCATAGCGTGTGGTGACTACAGCCAGTTCCTACCTAACACCAGGGGGGCTGAACGGCTTCTTCCCCACCCCCACCCCTACCTCCCCCGCCGGCCCAGGCACCTGATGCTATCGCTTCCTACTCGGAGGCAGCCAGTGAGGTCGAGGTGCTCTAGTTTCGGGCAGTTCCGAGCTAATTCCTGGACTGCGGCATCGCCAACGTTGGCGTTGACCGCCAGCGAGAGGCTGCGGAGGCCTGCACCTCGCCTCTGCGCCAGGTACACGATGGCTTCGTCCTTGAGCTGCCGGCAGGCAGTGAGATCCAGCTCCTCCAGGGCGGGGCAGCGGTCGGCTAGGCCACGTAACGCCAACCCGTCCACCCAGTCACAGTGCGCAAGCGACAGGCGTTGCAGACGGGGGCAGCCCCCAGCCAGCATCCGAAGGGCATGGCGGCTCAGTTGCCCGCAGCCAGCCAGCGACACGTTCCGCAGCTGCGGATTCCGCGCCAGTACCGGCACCAGGTCTTCGTCCGATAGCCATTCGTGACACGGAGCCAACGCCAGCTCCTGCAGCAATTCTGTGTCCCGAAGTAACCGGACCAATGCGGCCCGTGGGATCTGCGGACCCACCTGCAGGCAGAGAGGCACCGGGACAGACACTACCTATCCACCCCGAAGTTTTCCTACTCTTGGGGCTGGCCACCTGCCCTCCCCACAGAGCCTCCGTGGCCCCTTGGAGCAGCCACTCCAGTATTCGCCCTTTTGGAGTACTCCATGCTGTGTGGATCGCTTCTCCTGCAGCCCGAATGGGGAAGGACTTGCAGTGGAGCCGGGGGCTGCACCAGAAGCTGCACAGGGGTGGTACCCCGATGGGACACCCCGATGGGACCGGGCTCCACCCCCCTCCACTCACCCCCACCCCCACCCCCCGCTCACCTGAGCAGCGTCAAAACGGCGCAGCCCGGCCAGATGCAGCTGCACTAGCGCCCGGAAGGCCCTGCTGACGCGCTGCAGCCGGAGCAGCTGGCACAGCGGGACGCGGTTCAGGACGTGTGGGAGCAGCACATCTTCCCAGGGCAGGTCCAGGAGCCTGCGGGTGAAGGGGCAGCACTGACATCACCGAGACGCTATTACCTGCGAGGCTGCCTCTCAAGAGGGGCCCTCAGGCCCAGCACGAGCTCAGCTCGTTTCCTCAGAGTCTCTTCTCTCACTTGGCCCCTCCAGTGCTCGGTACCTGACGGCTCCGGGTTCTTGCTCCCCTCCGGACAGCTCCATTGGTGGCTCCTTCGATTCTCTACTGCGCCTGCGCAGTAGGATCTCGCTTTGGCCTTGGAGCGCCTGCGGCGAGCCCGCCTCTTCTACCGTAGAGACAGACCGATTCAATCGAGTGCCGTGTCACTAATGGTTCTATCTGAAAGCTTCCCAGCAGGGCCCCTAAACGGAGGCAGAACACACTAGTGGTGTAACATCAGATCTCGCCTTTTCAGCCACAGAGTTCGAAGCCTGAGTCTTGGAGAAGCAATGCTGAAGACTGGTTTCTGTCTTCGTGGTGGGCCAGTGGCCGCCTCTAAGTGATGGGAGGAGCTAGCGGAACCAAAAGCAGGAGGGGCGGAGCCAGAACTCTAGGTTACTGAGGGCCTTCCTCCAGCCTGCGGTGGCGTTTAGCGACTTACGAAAAACGGAAAGAAACTAGACTCTTAATGTTAGGCATGCAGCGCAGCCTCATGGAAGAACGAATAGGTGCAGCCTTTTCTTCTCATCAAACTTTGACTTTCCATCCTAGCTAATTGTGAAGTACAGACTTATCTTTCCTCTTCCATTTTCAGGACAGGGCTGGATCAGGTTTGTGCCTGGGCAGCGTTAAGAAGGATTTTATGGGGCTGGGAATGTGGCATGCATGAAGCCCTGGGTTCGATTCCTCAGTACCACATACACAGAAAAAGCTGAAGTGGCGTGTGGCTCAAGTGGTAGAGCTCTAGCCTGGAGCAAAAGAAGCTCAGGGAAGTGCCCACGCCCTGAGTTCAAACCCCAGGACTGGCAAAAAGAAAGAAGGAGTGGAAGGAGGAGGAGGAGGAGGAGGAGGAGGAGGAGGAGGAGGAGGAGGAGGAGGAGGAAGAGGAGGAGGAGGAGGAGGAGGAGGAGGAGAATTATCTATCCAATTACACCTCTTTCCTTTTGTCCAAAGGTCTAGAGTCTTGAGTGAGGGCTCAGCTCACTGGTCTCTGTGTACTGCTTCTCCACTGGCCTTGTGTTAATTGTAAAGGTTGAGGCTGGACTTGCCAGGAGTCAGTGACGCCCCCAAAGAACTGTGCCACAGGGTATCCTGTTCATTTCCAGATTTTTTTTTTTTTTTTTTGTCAGTCATGGGGCCTGAACTCTGGGTCTGGGCGCTGTCCCTCAGCTCTTTAGTCAAGGCTAGCGCTCTACCACTTGAGCTACAACACCACTTCCAGCTTTTTCTGCTTCTGTGGTGCTGAGGAATCGAACCCAGAGCCTCATGCATGCGAGGCAAGCACTCTACCAGTAGGCCACCTTCTCAGCCCTCACCCCTAGGTCTTAGCCCCAGGTTCCTTCCTGAGGAACACGTAGTGTAGTTTTCACCCATGATCCAAGGGGTGGGTATGGTGAATGTGAGGCACCCCAGGGCCACTACTACAGTGGTTCATGGTTAAGCCCTCTGTGCAACCACTTCAGCTGCCTCTTTGTACCAAAAGCTGTTTCCCATACCTTGTCAGGGCATTGGGCACTTCTGCAAAATGGGCAGGTCTATGCTATCACTCCGTTTTAAAAATGGACAAACTGAGGTCCTGCGGAGAAAGCTCCTTGGCCAAGATCAAACAACACGAAGAGAACCCAGATATCCTTTCCACGGCTACCTCAGTCCATGTAACAAGGGAGAAGCCAGCCCCCGGACAGGACCAGAAAAGGGTCAAGTTGGATGAGGGGCTTGCATCTTTCCCAGCCGGCGTGGGAAAGGAGTAGACAGGACTGAGCGCTGCAGAGATACAGCTGTGTGGGCGCGCGCCACCTCGGGCCGCGCGCCTCTTCTCCCTCCCCACTTCATTCGCGCTTCTGCGCCTGCGCCATACGACAAATCTGGCGCTGTCCCCTTCAGCACCACGCGGGATCCGCGTCACCCTTCCCCGCGGTGAGCCCCGCGCGCCCCCGCCTCGCAGGTCCTCGCACCCCCTGACCACCCGAACCGACCCCCTTCTTCCTTCCGATGGCATCGTCTGCCTATCCTGGCCTTCCGAAGGCGAGTTGTTGCCATAGTAACTCGTGTGGCGCTTTCTTAAAATAGCCAGATCCCCTCTCACCCTAGCTAAGGGCACAAGGGATGCCTTTGCTCCACTTCCTCCAGCCTTGGGGTCACCCCGTCTAACCTTTTGTCCCTGAAAGGAGGAGAACAATAACTCAGACAGCAAGGAAATTCTCAAGTCTGACTTATTCCTCCTGATACACCCAAGGTGGGTGGTCAGGGTTAGGTCTCCTGGGTCTGAAACTCAGAACCCAGAAGGGTTCCAGACCGCGTTTCCTTCCCGGGCCTTCCATAGTTGGTCCTTGGATTTAGGGGGCGGGTCCGGTCTAAACCCGTACGGTGCGCTGTGCGCGGCCGCGTGCTCGTGGGGGCGGGAGCGCGTGTGGCATGTAACAGGTCATGTGGCAGTCTCCTAGGGACACGCGTGGGGTCCGGAGCGGGCCACACGTGTGCAGCTGGGTCCAACGTGTGGCTTAGGAGGCAGTGGGCGAGAGCCTGGACAGGACTGGGGTGGGGCATGTGAAGCAACCTGGGGTCCCCAATGCTCTCCCCCTCGTCTGGAGCGGGTCCTAGGTTGGCGGGAGAGCCCAGCCGGGACCTGGCGAAGAGGGGGTTGGCAACCTCTGGGACTCCGGGCCCTGAAAGACGAGGGAGGTGGGGGGGGGGAGGGAGGGATTAGCGTTGCTTGAGCTGCGCGCTGGGGCGGGAGGGGGAGTGGAGGAGGGACTGAGAGGCGGGCGGGCCTGGAGCGAGCGGGAGCCGCGCTGCCTTCACAGCTGAGCTGGGCCCAGCCTCTCCTTTGCCTCTTCTCCGTTCCAGCTCCGGACGAGCCGCGGTGAGTACTGACGTGGCTCTGAGTGGAGGCTGCACTGGCGTTGAGCAGGGCCCCCATTAAGCTTTAAGAATGCAGGTGGCCCCGCATTGCTACCAGAAGCCCCCATTACCCCTTTATGGTCCCTCCTGGGCTGGACAAGATCGGTCTTACACCTAGCAGGGAGGAAGGGAGGAGAGATGCCCCTCCCTAATCGTGGTGACCCGTTTAGGGAAAGGGAGGGTTTGTGTCCGTGTTTGAGTGTATGAATGCATTTGTGAATTTGACTCTGTGATTATGTCTGTGTCTGATACACCTGTCTATGTGCATTGGAGGATGAGAACCCATGTGTATATTTGGGTACGTCTTTGTATGTTCCTGCTTGATGAGGTTGTAGGTGTAAAACAAGCATGTGCCTTTCCATTACACACATATTTGTTATGACTGAGTGTATGAGGGTGTGTCTTTGAGCAGTATGTGTACGTGTGTCTGAGTCTGTGTGTACTAGAGGGTGTTGCCTATGAATCTGTTTAGCTGTGCACCCATGTATGTGTGTGTGTGTGCCTGTGTGCATGCATGTGAGTGTACTCTTGTGGAGAATGTCTCTTTTCTACTCAGCATATGTGTATTGGAGGTAGGGGCCTCTGTTCAGGCCTCTCTACCCTGTGCCTCTCAGCTCTTCATTGTCCCCACATAACCCCTGTTCTTCCTCCCCTTCCAGGAGGACTGTTTCCCCTCCCTGAGTGAAGGACCCCCACAAGAGGGACAATAGGTGATCTAGGATTGTCTGATTATGATTGGCTGACACTCTTGATCCAGATGTGGGGAATCAACCTCCCCCACATCTGAAGTAGATCCAAATTGCTCCAGAGATTCAGCTCACTGAACTTCTGAGCTGGCTTCCTCTCTCCTCTCAGAGCTCCAGGTAGTAGGAGAACCAGGGCCTCCCTGAGTGGACGACACTTTTTTCCTCAGATCACCATAGATGTCGCTTCCAAGGCTAGGATCAGTGATGCCGTATTTCAGGCAGGATTAAGTCCTTAGAACTCTTAGAGGCCCAGCTCCCTGGCAATTGACCCCCTGCTTCCCTTCCTTTTTTGCAGGCCTATCCGAAGAGCATGCAGCCCCCTCACTCTCCACCTGGCCTTGCCATCCCTGCCCCTCCAGCCTGACCCCCGGCCCCAGCATGGCCCAGGGTGCCATGCGCTTTTGTTCAGAAGGTGACTGTGCCATCTCCCCACCACGATGTCCCCGTCGCTGGCTCCCCGAAGGCCCAGTACCACAAAGTCCCCCAGCCAGCATGTATGGCAGCACAGGCTCCCTGCTACGACGAGTGGCAGGTCCTGGTCCCCGAGGCCGGGACCTGGGACGTGTGACAGCACCTTGTACACCTCTACGTGCCCCCCCCTCACCCCGCATTGCCCCCTCACCTTGGGTACCCTCTTCACCCACGGGGCAGCCTCCGCCAGGGGCCCGGAGCTCTGTAGTCATCTTTCGCTTTGTGGAGAAGGCCAGTGTGAAGCCACTGAATGGGCTACCTGCTCCTGGAGGTTTGAGTCGGAGCTGGGACCTAGGTGGAGTTTCTCCTCCCAGGCCTACCCCAGCACTCGGGCCTGGCTCCAACCGGAAGTTGCGGCTGGAAGCCTCCGCATCAGACCCACTCCCAGGGGGAGGAGGCTCTACCCTTCCTGGCAGCCGCGACCTCTTATGTGGGCCACCAGTCCCATCCCAGGTTGGGGCAGATGGCCTTTACTCCTCTCTCCCCAATGGGCTGGGGGGTCCCCCTGAGCACCTGGCCACATTATTCCGAGGACCTGCTCATGCTGGATTCCTGAACCAGGTATGCAAGTTGCTTTGGGCTCCATTGGGCCTTTGGGTCTCCATGAAGGTGCAAGGCTTACCCTAGTGTCAGACTTGGGTTTCTTTCCTGATCACTGAGTCCATTAATATCCCAAATCTCTCTTTCCCTTTGTGTTTGTCTCTGAACCTCCACCTCGACCCCATATGTGCTTTTATTTCTATTCCATATTCTTGTGTCCTTGTATATTTGGCTTTATTTCTGGGTGCCTGTACCTTTCTCTCCCTCCATGGCTCAGGGGGATACCTGGTCCTCCCCCCGGGAAGTCTCCTCTCACGCTCAGAGAATTGCTCGAGCCAAATGGGAATTCTTCTATGGCTCCTTGGACCCCCCCAGCTCAGGTAAGGCCTAGGATCTCGGCCAGGCAAAGAGGGCAGGGCCTTCCCCCAGAGCAGCTGAGGGCTGGTAGGGTGGCTTCCTTCAAATCTTGCCTCCATCTTTTCTGAATCCTGAGTCATCCAAAGCCCCTCTAGCCCTCAGTCTTCCCATCTGGACTGCAGAGAAGCTGGGCTGTGCCCTGCAGACAACTGGGTGGTAGAGGAGGGGGAGGGCAGGACATCAAGGGTCCACTTCCTTGGAGTAGAAAAGAAATTGGCTTCCTTCAGACTT